AAGGAGCCGGAGATAATACATTGCACGTCGGGCGAGGTGAACCCGCTTAACCTGTCGCAATTCTGCGATATAATCAACGATAGCGTCGAACGTCATCCGCCCAACAGTTTTGTCTGGAAGCCATCCACGAAGCTGCGCAATGGCTGGCGCTATTATCTCTTCTTCTATCTGTTCCATCTGCTGCCCGCGATGATTTTCTACATACCGGAGAAGCTCTTTGGCATTGGCATGCCGCAGCACACGTGAGTCCAAGCTTTGCTCTAGTGCGACCCGATCTATATTCTCACCCGATCTCAAATTACAGCGCCTACGAATATATGCGCGTCTTCCAGAATGGCACCAAGGCTTTCGATTACTTTCTGGACAAGGATTTCCGGTACTCCATGAAGAATGCACTGCGCATCTCCGCGCTCATTCACGAAAGCGATCGCAAACGTTACAACTTTGATGCCAGCCGCTGTGATTGGTCAGAGTTCATCGATCGTTGTCTGATCGGCATCAGGCGTTTCTACTTCAAGGAGTCGGCGGTCACTACGCAATGGCATCGCAACTACTGGAAGGTGTAAGTAATCGAATTGTTCACCTCAGCATTGAGAAAACTAGTTCGTGAACGATCAATCAACTGAGTTAAAGACCGATATTACTGATCACAAATTCAGTTGCTCATGATCAACAGCTTAATATTACTCATATAGCTAATGAGCAGTTGGGCTATTCAAGAACGAATCTAATGATCGATCACTGGTCGTTGAATAAGTTTTATAGTTCTATTTCCACAAATCTTTAATTTTCTTTTGTTTTCAGCTTCAACTTCCTGTACTATGCCGGTTTCGTAGCGATCTTTGCTATACTCTACTTTGTGCTTACCCCCTTCCTGGGCTTCACCGTTGGCTTTACTGTGGCGCTCTTCGTATGGGCATTCCTGGTCTGGTTGTAAGGTGATCGTTAATGGGATCGGTGGATCATACATATTGTGCAATATTTTATCACCTATACACTTTCACACATACACACACACACACATACACACCCTCACATTCAGCTCAGTCGTTTCCATCGTTCTTCATAGGGTATCATCATGTAATTTTACTTTAAACTCTCACACTTGAGTACAAGTCAGCTATATAGTATATCGAATAAAAATATATATCTGTCAATACCCATACCAATACAAATACATATACAACTCTAAAACCATGAAAACAAGCCCAAAACTTAGCTCAAATGGTAGTCACTTTATAACAAATAGTCCTGGTATATAGTCAAATAGTCAAATGTTTGTGCACTTGTAAATTACGAAAGCTAAACGTAAACAATTAAAATATTAACTATGTAATCTATTAATGAAATAAATATGACAATTTAAGTGTTAAGCAAAGCTAACAAGAGTTTTTCTTCTGAATTACAGTTTGTTGTATTGTTAAAAAGAAAAACAGATGAAAAGTCAATATGTGAAGTGTTAAGCATGATATCTTTAAATAAACACACTTTTTCACAACTCTCTTGTTTACGGTTCCTTTTGAGTGCGAAGTTCTAACGGAAAACTCATGCTACTATTTCCATGAATATATATGTACATATACATATAAAAACGACGATGTTTCAATGGAGACCTAATACTACTATTTTCGTAAATCTAAAGTTCAAGTAGCATATTTGCTAGCTAATAAATATTTAAACTATAAGTTTCAAATCAATAAAAATAAAACGAGAATAGTTGTGGATTTAAAAAAATTAAAATACACCTAATTTGGGTATGCTAACAAAAATGCAAGTTAAGTCAGAAAGAACACGGCTATATCGGCTCAGCACGTCGCCCTGATCAAGAATATACATATACATATGTACATACTTTACGCGGTATCCAATTTCAGCTATTTCCATCGAAATGTATTTAAAATAAAAACAATTTGTAGGTTGGCAAATACATACATATGTATGTATGTATGAATGTCATTATTACATTCTGAAAGTGCGATTACGAGATAAGTTCATAGCCCAAGCGCAGTCGCTGCGCCAACTACGCAGTTAGCAGACCGAGTGCTTACGCGTGCGCATGCATGTGTGTTTTTCTGTTAAGATTCCGATTTCATTGCAACACATACTAATGCACATTAGCATTTGCAATATAAGCCACAAAATATACATTAAAATTTTAGAGCGCAACTGATTTATAGAAAACCCCTTAAGGTTTGCTACAGTTTGTTCGTATAATTTAGAGCGGAATTTTTGAAAATAAACTGCATGGAAATGGGGTTTTTATACACATTTTTCCCCGTATGTATGTTAAACTATACAGAATCAAATCAATGTGTCCTGTACTCTTAAATTTTTTTATTTTTATTTTTATTTATGGGACACTTTACTTTTAATCAATTACTGCTTACAAAAGTGATGTGTTTAACATTTTAAAAATTTTTAAATTGATTAGAAATAAAGTGTGCCATAAAAAACTGCATTGAAAATAGTTTAATCATTAAGTTTAATAATTAAAGTTAATAAATAAATACAATTATATTTTTAAATATTTTAAAATTCCTTGAATATATGTTAAATATGTTCCTTGAATTACAATTAAATTAAATATTTGATTATTTCCACCAGAAATAGAACCCTTTTGTGCAACGCCCCTGGATAACTGGTTTCTCGCTGCTCATTATGATGATGACGCTGGTCATCATCATGTGGCTCGTCGGCACTGCCGACAGAATGCATTGAGAGACGATCTACGAGAGCCGACGAAACAGTTTCATTTCGGCCGGCAAACGTGCAAGTTGTACTCCACGCAGAGTTTCGGACGAACGCACCGAAACAGCTACACACACACACATTCGCATACCGCATACAGAGAGCAACGTAACTGTTCACAGGCACAGGCATTCATTCATATGTATGAATATCTGTGAGTGTGTGCGCGTGAATATTGTTTACTGCCGCAGCAACAGCGCTTAAACAAACAACAAAGTGAAGAGGAAGAAGCAACGAAAGAAAAAAGAAGCTCAGTTTAGCGAAATAAAAGAGAAATTTTCGGCTCTTCGGCGTTAGATCCAAGCAGATCTATATAGCCAACACTATATACATCTATTGAACTGAATATCAATTCGTGCATTTGATCAACAGCTGTGCCCCGTTACAATGGCCAGGTAAGCGAACATTTTTGGACATAGACTGCCGAAAAGGCCATCTAACAAATAAGTCGGGCTAGTTTGACTGCTTTCGTATCTATCTCTGTGTATGTATATATAATTGTGAATGTGTGTGATTTAATTATTTGAATTTAAACATTCGGTGCAAAGTTCGGAGCCATTTGCCAAAACTGTAATAAGTTTCAGTTTTTAAAGTTGTAAAACTATAAATAAATCCGCAGCAGATGCAATGCGATGCCCATACACTGGGCGCGCATTCTGATTTAGAGTTTTTCTCTTCACACACACGCACACATGGGCATCATATGGGATCTTATGTCAGAGATCCGACACTTGACTGTCGATCAATATTTACCTTCGCTTTGTGCCATGTAAAAATCTCTTCCAGAAATTCGTAGTCATTACTACCGATTCCGGTTTTTTTTTTTTTTTTTTTAATATCTGCTAAAAATTGCAGTTGTATAACAAAGATAAAAAAGATAAATAAAAAGGATATGAATAAAAAAAATATTATTATAATTAATTATAAATTATAAACATTTACATTCACCGAAATTTAGAACCTATCTTAACTAAATGACGGTATCTACCTTAAAACCAATTAAATTTAAATACAACACGTAAATTTTTAGCTCAAAATTCGTATTATTTCATACAAAAGTTATACAATTAAGATCACATTTACTATATGTATATACTTGTTTATAAATTAAAAATGCAATATGAGAACGATAATAGATTAAATAATATAAAGTAGTACATGATTGCCGAAGCGAACGAATGTTGTTTTCTAGTACGGTATTTCGAAAAACCAGTTTAATATATACAATTTAGTCGTAGCACTAATTATACACTTAAAGTTAAATTTTAATATATTACTATAAATTAACATCAATTATCAATACATAAAAAAATATATAAATCAGTCTGAAGGGAAATCGAACATAAATATTAATTAGTTTTGACACACACACACCCCAAAAAATATAAAATAATAATAATAATAATTAAAAGTTAGGCTCTATACTGATTAATTAGAACTTAAGTAATTTATAGTTTTTAACGCGCTCAGTTTTGAAAACATCTCTATATAGAAAACATCTAAACTCGCAATTTATATTCATTACAAGATCTCAATATACATAGTTCAAGTGAGAATTAAATAAATTGAAACTTGACATTTTTCGCGACACTAAAATTCAACACGCCCATTAAACTTCGACCTGGGCAACGCCTAAGCTTTGATTTACGTGTGCCTAATATATCTGCCTGCTGCATTATGAATGACGTTAATTGTTGGGGCCGCGTGAACAAGTTGCTTAAACATATCTCAGCTTGGATAGGCATCGATGCAGGCAAAAAAATGCGACGTGGCTGAGAGCCATACAAAAACAAAAACAAACATGTAAAAAAACTCTAGTCGAGACTGCACGACTACGAAATGCCCTGAGTGCTTAGGGAAGCTGAGATTTCAATAATTCCTCGCTTTTGTTCTGCCTACATAAGAGACAAAACAGGCACACATACGCACACCCACGTAAGCACACACGCATGAGTCTGCAGTGTGGGCTTACTCTGGGAACTGAATTGTTAAATACCTATTTTTGTAGATGGACTATCTTCATAAAACTTCCCAAATGTCGTGTATGTGTGTCAAAGTACAAGTCTCTAGCATTTGAAATACTCATTTTGCAAGTGTGGAGGGAAGAGGTTGGAATTGGGGGTGACGAGTGATTATAACAAAAATCGAAAATCTAAGGAATATGGATGAATCTATATTTCAAATTTGGAGACCCTAGTTCTAAAGATGTAGGAGATTAATTTAATTACTGATTTTCCATAAGGGGTTTAATAGATTTATTTTATTTTTTATTAAACAAACAATCTAAGTCAACTCAGTTCGTCGCACTGATAAAGTATATATTTTTTAGGGGCTCTTTCACGCCGTCTTCTCTCTGTTACATACATTTTCACAAAACCATTATACCCTGATTCCCCTTTTTCAATGGACCCAGGGTATAACCAACACAAAAACTATTCCTTTGCGAAGTGCTGTAGCTACAAACTCCATTACTAGCAATTATGCCCTCATACTGCAATTAGCCGTCGGATGCTTGGTTATAAGGTCGTGCACATCCAGAGAGTTCACAGTTCACAGCCGATCCTAGAACCTAGAATTAAGCAAAATTAGTTATTTATAGCTATTTATAAATACTAGAGACTAGAGAGGCACACACATATCTGAAGTGGAAATATATAGTATATATAGAACGAGTCAGAACTGACCTGTTTGCATAAATTCAACATTTAATTTGCTGCCATAAATCCGCGCAGTTAATTGCGCGCGATAAGTGTTGTTCCACTTGGCCACGTTTGGGAAACCTCAGGTAAAATCTAATCACTGCATGGCTTTAGTCAAGATAATAAGACAATTTACTGTAGCCTCCGCAACACAAGACGTATACATGAATAATACAAAGACCCAGTAGGAAATTGGCTAACACATTGCAAAATTCAAATTTGCAAATTGCCAAAAGCCGCAAAGGGAAAAAATAAAACCATTTAATTTATACCGAATTATCGCCACGTTAGAAGCTGTGGCTGCCAGCCACGGGGCTCACCTGCTGCTAATGGGCAAAGTGGCAAAGTGAAAGCTTGATTCAGTTGACAGCCAGAGTCGAGAGATTCGGCACCAAATCTGACGATGGCATCAAAACTCTTTTGCCAATGACTGAGCAGCTTGAGGCAGTTGCAGTTGCAACCGCAGTTGCAGCTGCACCTGCAACGTCTTCAGCTTTGAGCTCAACTGTCTGCAAATTGATCGAGTAAATCATACATATTGCGCAGCTCGAACATTAAATTGTCAATTGTTAGTCAATAAAATCAGCGAACAACAAAAACAAATACCGCACACACACATCATTTGCATTGTTCATTATAAAATCATTTGCCATGACCAGACGCAACCACAGAGGAGTCGGAGACGCTGCCATCATTAGGGCCAAAACGAAAGTGGCTAATTCGAATTGCGCTTGCGTGTGTCAAAACAAAAACTTGGCTCTACAGATCGCATAGTTAGCTAAAGCCTATGCAATATAAGATAATGTATGTATATACATGATATACATTGTATAACTGGGCTACAATTATTTACAAAAACCAACAACTAGTTGGGTCTAGCTAGGTGCGTCTAACATGAATACTTTCGCCAAACTTATTTAGATCGCATTACAATTATAATATCGATATCATAAAACGAGTTAATTATACAAATACTAATTGATTTACGCTACTCTTGTTCCTACTTCGACTACGTGACTGCACAATTTGCATTTATAACTAACTCAATGCAACAGCGTTTTCATGTTTCATATTCTCTGAGTACATTTTTGCTTAATTAATACTTTGACTTGTTCCACTCAGCTTCAAGTACCATTGATCTGCCATTTTTATACTCCCGCAGCTCAGTTTGAGTTTAGTTAACTAGATAAATATGCAGACGACAAATAGCAGTTAGAACCCACACACTATATATACACATCGATATATTCACATATACATATATATATATATATATACAAAAAACTGGTTTGTGCTTTGGACATTGGAGCATTACGTTACGGAGAAATGCGACAGACTTGTACGATTCCGCCTTGGAGTTGCTGCGGCTGCTACGGCTGCTGCTGGTGCGGCTAATTTTGCCTTTGTTGTTCGCATTTGAAGCGTAGGGAAAGTTTGTTAAGATTGTTATGCAAGAGAATCTGTTAATAAAACGAGCTGCATTAGTTATATAAATATATGTTAAAATTTCCACTCAATCGACACTAATCAAATGTTACCAATGCAGCTCGCCCATCACAGATTTCTATGCGGGACGCAATGTCTTCATCACAGGCGCCACGGGCTTTGTGGGCGTGACCATTGTGGAGAAGCTGCTGCGAGATGTGCCCAATGTGGGCACCCTGTATCTGCTGATGCGCGCCAAGAAGGGCAAGAGCGTGGAGCAGCGTCTGGAGGAGCTGAAGAAGAACTCGGTGTTCGATCGTTTCAAGGAGCTGCAACTGGAGTCGCGTCTCTCGAAGATTGTGCCTATTGAAGGCGATGTTGGGCTCGAGCATTTGGGCATTTCTTCAAAGGATCGTGAGACACTGATCGACAACGTGAACGTGGTCTTCCACTCGGCTGCCACGCTGGACTTTTTCCAATCGCTGAAGGAGACGACGAACATCAATTTGCGTGGAACACGTCGCGTCGTCGAGCTGTGCAAGCAACTGCGCCATTTGGATGCACTGGTGCACGTGTCCAGCGCATATGTGAATGCCTATATAACTGATGTGGAAGAGAAACTCTATCCCTCGCCCGACGATCCAGAAAAGATTATTCAGCTGGCCGAGACACTTAACGATGAAGCGCTCAAGCAACTGGAGCCCAAGTGAGTTGTCCCTATGAATCCGTTAACTGAAAATAATTAATTTTAATTTTGTAATTAATTTCAGATTGCTCAAGGACCATCCCAACACTTACACGTTTACCAAGCATCTGGCGGAGCACGAGGTAGCCAATGCGGCATCGCAGTTCCCCTGCGGCATTGTGCGCCCCAGCATGAGTAAGTGAAATCCGTTTGCCGTCCCGGTTTTCTCTCATACTCATTTCATTGCAGTCACGGCTGCTTGGAAGGAGCCCATACCCGGGTGGACCATATCGAAGAACGGTCCCCAGGGCTTCTTCATGGGCGCCTCCAAGGGTATCTTGCGTCGTCTGCCCTTGGATCCTACAATCATCATGGACTATATACCCATCGATGTGGTGGTCAATGGCATCATAACCACGGGCTATTATGTCAATTCGTTGAAGTGGGTATTGCTAGAAGTTATGTATATTCAGATAACCAACCCGTTTCCATTGCAGAACCAAGAATGGAGGACGTCCAGCGGAGCTGCAGATATTCCATTTGACGTCCAGCACATATAAGCCATTCCGTTTCGAGTTTCTGAAGGACAAAATCAATAGCTATTTGCATGACTATCCGCTGAACAGCGCCGTCTGGTATCCCAATTTGCGTCTGGTGAAGAGCCTTATGCTGTTCCGTCTTGGGGCCATACTATTCCACTTTATACCCGGCTTCTTCCTTGACTTGGTTACCAGAATTGGCGGCGGTAGGCCAATGTGAGTTACTATGCCTTATGGCTTAAGAGATAGCTCTACATATATATTGATATAGGATTAGATGTCAATTTTGAAAATCTTTTCAAATTTCTTTTTTTCCCAGCTTGATGCGACTTCATAAAAACGTTTGGAATTCGTTGAATACCTTGGAGCGGTTCATATTCACCGAGTGGCATTTCGATAGCAAACGTCTTCTGGCCCTGTCAAAATCCATGGACATTGCGGACAAAAAGAAGTTCGGCATCGATATTGGAGAACTGACATGGGATGAATATTTCGCCAACACCATTCAAGGCGTGCGTCAATATCTGAGCAAGGAATCGCCCAAAAATCTAGAGAAAGCGCGTCGTAAAGACAAGATGTTAGTATAAGATATGGAATCCCATTTGCAATACTTACCGTTCTGTTTTGTTTTGCAGTCTTTTGGGCCTCCATGTGGTGCTCCAGCTTGCCTTTTACTATGGCATCTTTAAGCTGATTGTGGGCGTGACGGGCGTTTCATCTGCAAAGGGTGCTCTCATCTTGCCTTTGTTTTACTATCTCTTTGGACTGATTTAGGGTCTTTGTACATCTGCGAATGTATGTTGAATATGATTAACCATTTCTCAAATAATATTTATGATTAATTCAATTTAATCAAGGTTTGGTGTAAAAGCTCTTCACTTATTCTAAACATAAAATACAAGACAAGCAAGCAGCGTGTCGCAGTTTGTAAGAAAACCAACCAGTGTTATATTTATTTAAGACAATTACTATTTTAACAGCTTTCAGGTTTGTCGTATTATTTTAAATTTCTTGTTTATGGTTGATGTTTTCATAGTTATTAAACACCCTGTATTTGTGTACGATATACTCAATAGTTACTTTTAATGTATCGATATAAGTAGATGCCAGCTGCCTATCGATTGAGTTAAGTCTTCACTGCGCATACTCGTCGGACTCAATCGAATCTGTGAACAATGATTCAGCAGCTGATAAAGTTCAAAGTAACTTTTTTAATTAAAAATAAACTGTGGGACAGATTTATACTGCTTATTCGTACCATGATTTTTTCTATTTTGATGCCAAAATGTATGAAAATATCAACGTCATTACTGCAAAGTAACATAAACTATCGCTGTTAATAGCAGTTCAATCGAAATGTTAAGCTACAGACGCTGTTATCAATCAATCAGCTGTTTCATTTGCCACACAGTTCGCGGATCAATCGGATCGCGTAGAAATTAAACGAAAATCAAAATAATAATTTTTAAATACCAATAATCGCTGTGGCAAAAACGTAACGAAACGGAAATAAACGAGGTGAGCGTGCGAGTGCAAGTGTGTATTTTTGCAGCAAACTGCAAAAGCAATAGTGAAAGCCAAGCAAGGGCAAGAAAGAGAAAAAGTGAATATATACAAGTTGATGCAATCGCAAAGTGCTAAACGATAAACACAGTCAGAGGGCGCCTATTCCAAAAATATTCGTATAATTATTATTGGTGAGTAGAATAGAATCCACGGAAATAATAATTTATATGTATAACGTTATATTTATGCACTCAACAAGTTGCGTCGCTCATATTTCGGTGTGTACACACTGGTCTTGCATTTTGGGCCATGTTTCGTGTAATTTCTTAACCTGGCTGGCATTTTACATTTTATTTGAATTATGTATTTTTTATCTATTATTGCGTAGCGCTGCTACCAATGTCACCTGTTTTAATGCGCTCGCTCTCTCGCTCGCACTTACACATACACAAACACAGAGACGATCTGGCTGGTTTTTATCTTGTTGTTGTTGCCGTTGTCGTCGTTTTTTTTTCTTTTTTTTTTTTTTTTGCCGTTAATACAGCAGCGTCGTCGCTCTTGTCGCTCTCTACGTGTCTCTTTCGCACTCTCGTTTCACAGTGTATGCGCGCATGAGCGCTTATACGAATTATTGCGAATGTATGCTCGTTCGTGACTTGGTATGTGTGCGATTGTTTGTAGGTATTTTTATATGAATATTTCCGCCCCCGCCCCATTACCGAGTGATAACACAGAAAAACTGTGACAGGGCCCGGAGCTTAGAAACGACGGGGGCCGACGTGCCGGGTCTGGCCCATTGCCTATTTGCTATAATGGCCTTAATTCTTGTGAAAATATTTAAATACGTATACACTTTATCTACGCATGTATTTGTTATATTTTTCCACATAATTTCTAATCTAAATGTGCAAATATTGATTTTCTATGTATTTCCTATACTAGTTTCCAACATGCTTTTATCAATGGCCCTCATTGTGCTTTTCGGCGCTAACAGGTGCCAAAATTGTAGTCTCTCGATAATTGAGAATGTGGCACGACACTTTATAAAAGTAAAATGTGTAAATGCATTTGAGTAGTCGATTGTTTCCATTAGTAATAAATGCACGATAGGCACGCTCATATTGATAAAATTTTGTTGTTTAGATTAATGCATGAAATCTATAAATTTATCTATATAGACTTGGCTGTTGTCGTTTAAAATAAAAGTAATATTCTTTTCAAGCAAATTCCTTGTGATCTAATAAAAGGCCATACGAAACAGTCCTTCCCTATTGCAATTATTTGATGAATTCGCAGTCTCATCTCTAAGGAGAGTTAGTTTTTAATTTCATAACATTTGACCTTCGTTATTCGTATTGGTGTGTAAATTCTCTTCTTTTTATTGTCCTAACTCCTGTTGGGCTACTATCGGTATATCCCTGCAGTTGCACTCATCGTATTTTTCTGCCAAGTCTCAGTTATTTCTGGTGTAAGCTTTTATTTTGTTTGATTTTGCCTTTGTTGTTACATTTTAAGAGCAAGCAGAGAGTTGTTAGTGTTTTTTTTTTCTTTCTTCCATTTTACGTCTTTGTTTATATGCATACGTCGTCGTCGTCGTTGTTGCTGTATCTACTCTTGCGCTTGATGCTTTGTTGTTATTATTGCGGGAATTTCCCTGCAAATTTTTCTATATACATACGTGGGTTTTTAAACCACATATATACATACATATGTACATGCATACGTACGTACTTATTATATTTAGTTCATTGTGTGATGTATGTGCGCAATATTTGTAGTTGGCCTGGCTCCATAAGCTCCACTTGGCTTATCACTGTCGCTATAATTATCAAAAAAACTAAATTAAATATATATGTATATGTATATTTAGACAGAAATAAAAAAATTTATATATAAATATTAATTATATACATACGTATGTATGGTTTAAATTGTCGCCAAGCACGGTACGAAAAGCGTTTCCCAGGCTCGCGGCGATAAGCGGCAGCCACACCTGTCAGAATCCCCCTCTGCCTTCGCCCTTGCTGATTGTCATTTATTAATTTTTTTCACGCCCAAATGAACAGCGTCTAAATATAGCCCAAATTGATGTTGTTGCCGTTGCCTTTGACTCCGCTTTGATTATTTGCACATTTACGAGGAGCCAAGGAACCGAGATAGAAAAAATACAAAAATAAAATAAAATACAAATTGAAAATTTCAAGACAACAACAAAAAAGTATTCATAAATAAATAAATAAATATCCCGTATTAATGTCTGCAATATCGCGGCCAAGTAATGTTTCGAGCAGAAGCAGGACAGCCGATTGGAGCCACGTTTCTCCTGTCTTCTTTTTCCAATTTGAAATTCGCGCTAATGACGTCAGTCAAGGCCTGACGTCTGCAGAAAATTCCGCAAAACGCCTCTTCAAATTATTGGCAAGCAGCACCCGCTCAAAAGCAACAACAAAAATTCAGAAAAAAATAGAACGAAAAAACGAAAAAAGACAAGCAAAGAAAACACAAGATTGAAAATAGAAGAGACTATAGCAACAAAAACAACCACAAAAAAAATTAAATTATTCTCGTTCCATTTTTGCGTGTTTTTTCCATTTCATTTCATGTCTCTACATTTGATTTATAATATTTCGTTTATACTTGTACAATTTTCCTCAACGTATTTTTGCTCTCAAAGTGAAAGTTGTTTTCATGTTGAAGAGCAGAGTTATCTAGTAATATTCATTCTAGTTTTTCTACGCATCGCCATCGACCGATCCGTATGTTTTCTGTTTCAGAATTGGATGTCTTATATATACGGCCTCTCGGGGAGGGTATATTGTTATTCCCCCCCTCATCTTTGTTGTGTGCAAAGATTTTCTTTGCTTCGCATTTATTTATTTATTTATAATCATTTTTCGTTTTCGGCCTTTTTTGACAAGACAGACACCGAGATTTCCGGTCAATTGCAATGATACTTCAAATCGTCGGCCTTCAAAGACAAAAGCAATTCGGTGGTAGCCCACGAATACATATCTCTTCTAATATGGATTACTTAATTGATAAAAATAAACGTTATACATATATATGAACGCCATAAGATAAGGACATCGTCAGTACACTTTACATTAACTTAACTTTTAATTGAAAGGGTTTCTTAACTACTCGAATGTCTTTTTGATAAGCTATCAATAGTGAGGTCTAGTTATTCAATGGAAACTGATAAATGAGGCTTGCGATTTTACAGGGAAAACAACTTGAACGATAACATTTACATTCCGTTTAACAACGAGTTTACCATGAGTACTAATTCGTTGTATATGATATTCGTTAAATGGCTAAAAATAAACATATAAAAAGAAATTAAACTTGAAATTTACCTTAGCATTTACATTAAATTAAACAAAAACATTATTTAATATTACTATTTGATTGGAAAACCACTACATGAAGAATTTTACTATTCCCTTTTCTCTTTTACATGAATATTCTTATCAATCAATCTATATAAGCAAATAGATTCTTGTTTACTTTCTTTGTTGATATTAACATTTAATTTACAGAACTTTAACATTTATATTAGCCTAAACACTTATATTTCATTTGTCATACACTTAGCTTGCTCATTTAATTCTCATTACTGTATGTCTCTACTTAGAAAATTCCATTCTTAACTTGCAGTTGATTAACCCTAAACACCCTAAGGAATGCAGTCTGCTTGTTAGCATCGGATGACCAACTTTAAAATCCGCTGATCCACCGCACGGAAAACCCAAAAACAAATTTTCTCATTATTTTTGGGGTCTTTCGCCTTTGTTTTGCTTATTCTCATTTGTTTTCATGTAAATCGGTCGAAAGGCACGCGAAGCGACGCCAACATTTTATTTTTTTTTGCACAAAAGCATTTTAATGAATGGAAATTTTGTTCCGTCCAATTACAAGAGGATTCGTTCCGAACCGTGCCGTTCCGAGCCACATCCACGCATAAAACTTATATGTGTTGCCATAAATTTAATTACTTTGTAAACTTGTGCAAACTGATTGTTGGTCTTTTGTACTCTGAACACAGGTTCTATGTCTCTCGATTTTTACGTATGTCAAGGCAAATGAAGCACTCTGTTACCTGAGCATACCATATAGAACAGAATCTAGAATCTATAGCACATGCAAGTATATATGTATGTATGCGAAAATGAATACATATATCGAATATATACGAATACTCTCTGTTTTCTCTATATACTAGCTGCAGTTTTTGACGTCGATTTCCTTTCCCAGTTGACGACTCGTGCATATCCCTCGTACAGCACACATCTGTATACACATTAATATGTATATTTGGATATATGTATATGTATATCTATGGCATATATCGCTAGCTAATTGTACACCCTCGCTATAAGTCACACGAAACTGGCAAACACAACGCGAAGAAAAGAATTAATTGAAATTAAACAAATTTTCATTACCAGTCCCCCTTCCCACTCATCGCAATCTACATGCTATACCCAGTACCCGAAAAATGAAAATAATATTTATATTTACGCCTATCACTTTTTACACTGTAATGTGTAGGGTATACAAAAAGTGGATATTGTTGAGAAATGAAAATGTATAAATAAAATATTACTTGATTTACAATTATACGATAATGTATTTGCTTTAATCTTTTATTTGTAATTTATTTTTTTTATTTGTAATGCCATTTATAAGTAATTTAAAAGCAGATCATTTAAAAGCTCTAGAGCTAATAAAATTACACTCTAGATCGTTTGAATAATTTACTTAACAATGGTAATCTGAGTCTAAAAATAGGAATAATAATAATAAATACATAAATTTACAGAGTATTTTGAATTCCATATGCTTTTGCAATTTCCGAAACTTTTGGCTCGCATTCCATTGATTCCCTATATACGAAAAGTTTGGAATTTTGTGGAATGAAAAATTCTCTTAAAGTCTAAAAATGATAAAACCAAAATGCAGAATTATTAATGAGAATAAATAATCACAAATGTTGCCAATTGCGAAAATTGATTTTATTGTGGCAAGGTCATTTATACCTAGAGTAAGTGCGTGAATATCAATAAATATTCAAATTTAACTCCTGCTAAACCAAAGACTATAAGAGATAAAGAGCAAGGTGAGCTCTAGGTATAAACAGAGTAATATGCATATATAAATAATTATTAAAATACTTTTACTTGCTATGCGGCTTCACAAACTGAAAAGGCAATATTAGCTTGTGCTCATTTTGCATTTTATTTGTATGAATGCCAAGCACTTCTACTCTATTAAACAGCGATGGAACGTTAAGAATTTTTAGATGTGTAGCTAATATAATTAGTTAAATATAATAAAACTAAATAATAATAAAATATAATATATCTAATAAACTAAACTCAATTTGGGGCGCTGAGTCCAATTCTTGCGTAGTCAAATGGAAAAGGTATTCAATAATATAATAATACTCAATAATATAATAATACTGAATAAATAATAATACTGAATAATTAAGTAACAATTATGTAAAAACTCTTTCTCGCCGCGATATGAATTGAAGCATGTAAGCTCCATTGGTTGGAACGCCTGACTGGCTTCAAGTATATAAAGTATATACTTTAATATACTTGCGATAATAATCTGCATTAATCGATATATAACATATGTAATAACATAATATTATTATGTGGTATAACATATTTGAATAAATATAGTTATATAATATTAGTAAATTCCAATAATATAGTCGGTTATGCCCGACTGCACTTGCCTTACATGTCTTTTACTTGTTTTTACTTTCTTTATTAAATGCTGCTTAATTTTGAATTTTCTCACAGTCTTCTTCATGTTTTTTGTTGTTTTTATCATTTTTTGTTATGGGGGGACATTGAAATAAACAAATTCTGGAGCCCACATACAAGCATATATACACATAGAAGAATATATCGTTCGCTATTCTATTCGGATAGATATAGAGAAATATAAATATTATTTATGCCTGTGGCGGGCCATTTTAATGGCGCCATGTTAAATGTGCCGTATCCAAATTTAATGCCAATGCTTTATTGTTAATACGTTTTTTGTGCATAAATGTTTGATTTTTATTGCTATAGTCGTATATTTTATTAAAAATATATATATATATGTGTGTGTGTGTCGCAAAGTTTATTATTTGTTTTTATACATGCTGTCACTTGTTGGTTTCTATATTTCTTCAAAAGCTCAGGTGAGCCACAATTCTCAAGCAAAAAATTAAAAAAAAAGCGAGGGCTGTATAAATACTTGCACATTTTTTATATCTATTTAATCCTCGCGTTGATGTTGGCGATTAATTTTCTTCTCTCCGTCTATTTTATGCCAACGTATGTAGCTATTAAATAGTTTTCTTTCAGCCAGACATGTTATTTTCGATTTTTAGTGAATTTCATTCTTTAACAACTCTTTCACCTCAGCATATTATTTATTTTCTATTTGTTATTGTTGTTGCTGTTTGTTGTTTTTTTTTTTTTTTTATAATTTTAAAAAATTGAATTTACTTAGTGATTAGTTTATTAGCGATTATTTGAGTTTACAGAGTTTATGTGATAGACGCGAGCAAGCGACTAGGCTGTCGTGCTGTCCGCTACTATGTTTGTAATAGTCAATCTAACACAGCATCTGCTCTAAACAAGAGTTAATTGCATACTAACTACAATGTACGCGAGCCGGCGGATTAAGCTGAGCCGGTGCGTGGGTGAAAGAGACAACGCAAAGGGAGAGCGTGATCTCCGTTACAAATTCTCTTACATGATAACATATTCTATGAACTGCCGCTCTTAATTACAATGAAGCGATGATTGCTGAGCCCAACATCCTCCCCCGTTGAAGACTTAGTCTTCAACAGAATCCTTAAGGGGCAGCAAGCACAGCTTATTTGTAGCTCTTCTTATCTCGCCAACTTCAGTTTTTAGTAGGGCTACCCGTGCAACGCCATCACTTCCAGGGATAAGTTCGATTATTCTGGCTAGTGGCCACTTAAGTGAAGGTAGATTCTCATCCTTCACAGAACTATGTTGCCAACAGCCAAGCCAGGTTTAGAGGTTCTCCATTTCGCTCGCTGTTGTAACAAGTTGAGATATTCGTCCCGCCAACGAGTCCAGAACACCTGCTGGAGATAGCTTATGCGCTGCCAAGCATCCAAACGATTAAAATGAGCCCGGTTAGGTTTGGCTCACTGAAAGACGAAGGAGGGCCACCGTTGAGGAAATGCGCAGGAGTCAACACGTCTATGTGCTCAGAAATCGAAACTAAAGGGCGTGAATTAACGACAGCAGCGATGTTGCAAACCAGTGTGCGAAGCTCATCGTAAGTTAGGACGGAGGACCCAACAATCGGTAAAAATGATGCTTCGCTGTCTTCACTGCAGCCTCCCACAAGCCACCAAAGTAGGTGATCGTGGAGGGATGAAATGCCATTCGATTGAGTCTGCCAAACAGAAATCCTTCACAGCCTTCGGTGGGTGTCTGACAGAAATAGACGCTTCAACTCCTGAAGCTGATTGCGGGCCCCAAGAAAGTTTGTGGCGTTATCCGACCAGATTTGACTTGGCTTTCCTCTGGTGCATATGAAACGTTGAAGTGCATGCAAAAATGCCGCGGTAGTTAAATCCTGACTAACCCAACCAAATAGCCTTCGTAGCAAAACAAATAAACACACAAACGTAGCATTTCACAGGCGCCTTGTTTCGTGACTCAGGCTTGTAAAAGAAGGGTCCGCAAAAGTCGACTCCAGTCACTCCAAAGACCCGATAGCCGTCGACTCGATCCTTGGGTAGATCTGCCATTATATGCTCAACGAGTCGCGGCCTTGCACGAAACAAATTACGCATCTCGAATTACACTGGCTACAGTTTTCTACCTCCAATTGGCCAATATTGGGAACGAACCAACGCTAGCACTGCTCGGGGACCAGCGTGCAAGTTTCGCTGATGGAAATGCATTATGATGGCTCTAGTTACTGGATGAACTTTGGGCAAAATAATTGGATGGCGACTATCGAAGTTTAAAGTTGAGTTTTTGAGACGACCATCGACAAATAGCAGCCCAATTTCATCAAGGAACGATGAAACCAAGTTAGACTGCTGGATGACGGAACCATTCCTTTATTTCGAAGAGCATTTATGTCGTCTGAGAGATGTGTTCGTTGAATCATTCTTAACAGTATATGCGTGCCGTTCCGGATGTCTCTGGGGTTACTCCTGGACCATGACTTTTTTTAATAAACTTTGATACGTATGCAAACGTACGCTGCAAGCGGCCGAAAGAATTCACAAACTTACAGTCCATAGAGACATCATGGACTGCGTCCTTTACAAGAAGCACAGTTCTTCGACGCTCAATTGAAGTTCTTTCTGGAAGTGCTGAGACTGGCCACTGAGATCTGGGCTTACAGAGGAAACCTGGACCGTTGAACCAATGTAATGATGCATTTAAATCCGAGGCAATGCACCCCGAGATAATATATCCGCGGGATTCAGTGTTGTAGGTATAGTGCCATTCCATTGCTGATGTGAGATCTTGTATCGTGGCGATGCGATTAGAAACAAAAACGTTAAATCGTCCGGCTCGTCATTGATCCAAGAAAGCGCAACAGTAGAGTCAGACCAACAATGAAACTCGCCTGCGAAAATGCCTAAGCGAGCCACTTCATTCATTAGACGCGCAAGCAACTCTGCCCCATAGTTCCAGCTTGGGAACCGTGAGCGTTTTTAGAGGCGCAACTCGAGACTTAGAGCAAAGCAACCTGCTGATGGTATGCTGACCTCTGGATACAATATAAATGCAAGCTCCGTATGCCTCGTGCTGGCATCGCAGAATCCATGGACCTCAACCTTCGATCCTGGTATTAATGATAGCCTGGGAAATGCACTACTAAGACCATTGCCAAAGTTGCTGCAAATGTCTAGCCATGCAGTGTGACATGCAGACGGGAGACTCATCCCAATCAAGTTTATGCCTCCAGAGTTGTTGAGATTTTAGCTTTCGTT